GCTTAGGTTCTTGTTTCTAAAATGAATAGGGCTCCTTTTCCAAAGCTCTTCTTGGAAGCGTGGGGAAACGATAATTTTACTACAGAAACTCTAGAGGAACGAGACAACTCGAGTACTGATGATGTTGCTGCTGACTTAGGGGACAAGAACATGTATCAACGTGAGTGCCGATGTCATGGGTTTCACCCCCGCCTTGTCGATCGTCATGCCCAAACTCAAAATTGGAGTACTGTGGATTTCCTGGGGTCCCCGCGAAACGGAAAATATCACCCGCATGGGGGTTTCTCGGGGTTTCGGCAAAGTCGGAGAACAAGTGTGCCTCAAGTTGCTACCTACGACTGATTGATGAGATCCGGAGCTTAAAATTAGCGAACCCGTCCGACCCAGAACTTCCGATGAACCTTTCTCTTGCAAGCCTATGTGTCTATGAAACCCTTAAGCTTCACTTCAACCACCTGAAAAGCTGCCGTTAAGTCGTGACTCCAAATCCCTTCGCCTAGACAACATGGCTGAACCAACGATTCTCATCATAGGTGGTGGGACATTCGGCACTTCCACGGCCTATCACCTCTCTCGAACCTACACAGACGCTAGTCGCGTGACTGTAGTCGACCGGTGGGCACCGTCCGACCCTGAAGCAAACAAGGCCGCCGCAATAGACGTCAATCGAATTATCCAAACAAATTACGTGAGACCGCTCTATTGCAACCTTGCTAGCGAAGCTATCCACCCGTGGTTTTGGGATCTTAATCTCGGCCACTTCTTTCACAAAACCGGGTGCGTGACAATCGATGAAGAGAACAATCAGTTTTCCAACGCCGTGCGAAAGACACTCCAGCAAAGAGGATCCGACTATACCACCGATGCCGATGTTGAAGATCTCGGAAAGCGATGGAAGCCTTTCAAGGGATTAGAGACAAGTGGGCTGGGAACGGCATTCTTCAATCCAGAAGCTGGATGGTGCGACGCAGCACTGGCAACCCAAAATTTAATGACCGCGGCGAAACGAAACGGAGTAAGAACGATCACTGGTGAAGTGGAACGTCTTCTGCTTGATCCGTCTCTTCGACAAGTACTGGGTGTAAGGATGAAAGACGGCCAGCAATTGACGGCAGACCGAATCGTCTTGTCAGCAGGTGCTTGGACAAGTAGCTTGCTTGCGCCAGTAGAAGCTAAGTTGCGTCTCGCACCTCACGACCGGATTGAACGGCAGATCACAGCAGTTGGCAGGGTCTCGGCTTATTACAAGCTCTCGGCCGAAGAAACCAAACACATGTGCGAAGCTGGGATGCCTATCATCATCTATAAATCCTGCGGGATTCTCACTCCGCCGTCACGAGAAAACCGAATTATGAAGATCAATGACCTTCAAACCGAGTTTGTCAATCGGGTTGCCATATCCGCAGGGCATGTTGTGTCTATCCCAGCTGAAAGAGCACAGGACGATGTGCCACAGAAGTTGAAAGATGAAAGTCAGAAGCTGTTGAACACCATGATGCCTGACTTTGCACAAGAGAAAAGCCCAGATCGATGGCGAATGTGCTGGGATGCAAAAACTCCGACAGAAGACTGGTTACTTTGCCAGCATCCGGATCCAAAGCTCGAAAACCTCTTTCTGGCCGTCGGAGGTAACTTTGACACATATAAGTACGTGTAACTTAAATCTTCATGCCTTGGTTTAAAACGGGGCAGATCTGACTGATAGGTCAAATTCAGGTTCCTCCCGGTTGCTGGCAAATACATGTGTCAGATCTTGCAAGGGAAGAGCAACGGCGGAGAAAAGGACGCCGCCTGGGGATGGAAAGACGAAGCCACCTTAATGAACGCCAAGAAGAAGGAACTAGGTCCTAAGTCAAGTATTCTATCATTACCCGAGTTCCGATCGTTTGAAGAAGGAAACCGGTCATCCAAACTTTAGTCGAGTCCGGATGTGTCAGGTATGTCATAGGCCAGTGTGAAGTAACCTATCAAAGGCCTTGTTATCCTGAACGTCTCACAGAAATAGATTGCGGATGCATGAAGAATGTGAAATGGTTTTGGCAAACAAAACGAGCTAGTATCTGACCTGAAAACTATCTGGATGCTGCAAAAGGGCGGCATCACTAGCCTCGTATGGATACTTTCTTCCAATCTGCCTGACTAACTCCGCATGCTCCTTACTGCGAGGTATGACTCTCACTTGAAAGGCCGTGGGATATGTCAAAATCCCCGGCTTCGGTCTCACATCGACCTCAATTTCCTTGCCATTCTTATCCAACGCCTTAGCGATCGTGAAAGCGGCAAGTGTTTGGGCCATGTTAATAAAGAGGCTTGAGTCGGCAAAGAACCGTCCAGGACATATCCTGCGGCCGTATCCAAATACCTCTGTCGTGGGATCGGCTTCATTCCGTGGGGGGAGAAAGCGGTCAGGATCGAATGATTCTGGGTTGACGTAAACATCTGGGTCATGAAGGAACCACCAAACAGCCGGGAGAACAAAGGCGTCTTTAGGAATTCGATACCCTTCGTACTCAAATTCTTCCGTCGTTGTATGAGGAAAGCTCATGGGAACAATGGGCCACCACCTGGCAGTCTCCTTGACCAAAGCATCCACATATGGCAGTTTGTCGCGGTCTTCGAAGGTCGGAAGGCGGCTAGAGCCAATTACCCGATCAATTTCCGCCTGTGCTTTGCGCTGAACATCAGGGAACTCTAGCATGGCAAGCGCAAAAGTGCTGAGAGTGATGACAGTCGTATCCGCAGCCGCACCGTAAAGACTCGCCGCTGACCAGATGACAGCCTTTTCATCTTCTTTGCTTAACTCGCCCTTCTCGTCTTGTGCCAGCTGTTGGGATAGCTTCGACACATAAGAGGGTCTATTTGAGAAACAGGACAGCTGTTGTTGAACGAACTCGTACGGGATATAGGCCGACGCTTGGATTGATTTGCGCCATTCCCTAGCAGTCTTCTTGAAAGAGGCACCCGGGAAACTTTCAGGAAGGTGTTGGAGAACAGGAATGATATCTACGAGCCAAGCCATGGGACTTGCGGCGAGAGAGAACTCAGTCATCATCTTTTCAATGAGCTCTATGAGCGCGTCCGATTTATGGGGCTCGATAGTGTAGCCATAAGCCATCTGGAGAACGGTGGCAGCGGCAGTACTGGCATTGAATCGACGATTAGCTATCGGCATGTTTGCTAGACATCTGTCCAGACTCACGTCTTGTAATGCTCTAGGAGACTTTCGGGTCTCTCTAGAGACCGTACCAATTGTCGGCCTACTTCGCACTCCTGAACGTCACGGAACTGCGACGCAGAGACCTTGGTACCGAGCTCTTGGTGAAGAAACTTGCGATACCGTCGAAACATGGGCGTATAGCCTTGACAAAGAACGATTGATTCGTAGCCGCAAAGCTTGTTGGCCATGACCATCGAGGGTCGACCTGACGTCTTACTTGCAGTTTGGTCTAGCAATTCATGCGCCATGCTCTTGTCGTGGACGATGATGAGAGTCATCCCCATAACCGTTACCGAACTGATTGGTCCATACAAATCCTTATGCTTGAGCCAGTGTAGATGCTCCGGTTTGCCCTCAGGAGGGAAATCCCGGATGTTACCCAGCAAAGGGAGTGGCTTTGGCCCCGGAGGAAGTTTTCGTTGGTCCGGTGTCCGCCTGCGACTGTAAATAACAAAGCTTGCCAGAGCCAGTATGCTCCAAAATAACCACAGCATATAATTCATATTGGCAAACAGTTGAAGGCCTCGGCCGAAACACTGTCAAGCTATATCTCGAGTTCAGGTGAGGAGAGCTTGAAAAAAGGATGAAGATGAGGGTTTTGATCTGGAAGGATGGATGTATGAAGCAGGTCTGATCTATTCGCTTACCTGTCAACTTGCTTCCTGCGCAAAAGCCAATGCAAAGGGAAAACTGGACATCATAATCAGAAGACATCTCTACGGATGCCATGGATCCGAGGCTGGGGTGGCTGCGTATTGCCAAATTGGAGGGATATTGTCAATGATGCAAGGGTGACACTCAAAATGTTGTTTCCAACAACGATTTCCGGAAGCCACTGTTGGTTTGGATGAAGGCAGGGCCCGACATCAATTACCAACATGAGTGCAATAGTGTGGCATCATCTGGGGTACGTTATTGGCTTGGCTGCAGTGTGGTGAGGTCCAGCCCCTTCCTTCACCTGCAGCCGGTGAGCAGCCGATCCAATGATGGAGCGCGCATTGCTGAAGACACGGGAGAGCGGGCGTGGCGGAGATTGAGGTTGTCCGTCGTTTGGTGGCCGTTTTCTCGTAACGGGCAAAACAGGGCCATTTCATGAGAAGCAGACCGATCACCGAAATAAGTAGCTGCATAGTAGGGCATGGATCTTTTGGACATGTCCGGGTGGGGTGAGCTGCCGGGGTAGAGCTGTTGGCTATATCACAGGCTTTCAACTGCTTTCCATGATCTGATCTGACCAGACTGCTTTGGCACGCTTGCATTATGGCTCGCCAGATCGCTCCATGTAAGTCAACCCGAGATTATGATACTTACGTGTGGCTGCCAACGAGAGAGTTGACGTTTGGATGAGCACTTGCACATCGTCAGAAGCACCCATCCGCATCTTGTGAAAGGCGTTTTTTTTGTACTTGTTCTGTAGACTGTAGTTGAGCCCTGGATGAATGCAAGATCAGGCACTCTTCAGGTTCCAGAATCGCAGTGTTCATCCAGTCAGTGCCCTTGCACCATCCCTGCTAGCTCCCCTGCGGCCGCTAAGGGGGAAGCGGGCCGGCCTGTGAAGACGTTGCAATGGGTTCCCGATGTACTCCGTAGCTGCAGAGTACCTATGTGGCAGGCATCGCTCGGTGTGATGTGATAGACTCTGTCATTTATCCTGCAGGAGTCCCAAACTGTATGGAATGAGAGGAGGCGCCATTTGAAGAATTTCGCTGCAGACAAAAGGTCAAAAGCTGGCGCGCATCGATGCTGGCGCGGCCTGAAACTAGCCAAACTGGATTCCGCCCACATCTCGACCCAAAGAGGCTTTTATCCGCCTTCGCGGCCATTGAGTCGGCTGATTCCTCGGACTTACTTGGCAAGGTCGAATCCTCATGCATCGTACCAGCCATTTCTGCCACTTGATTCCTTACGCATGGCGTTCCGATTTGGACTTTGGTTCAAGTTCCTGCTTGTAATTAGCGCCCCGTCTCCTTCGCGCTCGGCTACCTAGGTGATGTGGTATCCGAATTTTCAATCTCATTCGTGCCGAAGATGGAACCCTAGATCTTGGGAAGAGAGAGAAGCATTATTCTCTTGCGTAGCTCTGTTAAACCCTTCCTTCCTGCCTCCCTGATGAGCTGAATAATTTGATTTTAGACTTCGTTGTATTGCCTTACTCTCGACTCATCGTCGGGCAGGTATGAGCGCACCGTTATAGACGAGTAGCCATGGGAAAGCTTCCAACCGAAGAGGACATCGCCTGGATGGTGGCGCATATCAACGACTCGACGGTTCCCGACATCATTATTTGCTGCATCATCTGCAGTATCGCCTCTGTCGTGATCCTAGCTCTACGCATCTGGGCGAGATCCCAAGCCGGACTCAAACCCATTTTCAGTGACTGGCTGATCGTTGGTTCGGTGGTAATGCTATTTTCCTAGCAAGACGCAAGATTCATCGCGCTTACGATAGCCAATAGTTCTTTTATGTCGTCTTCTGCACAGTTTTTGCTTTATCGACAAGGTATGGAGCTGGCAGACACATCATCCTCATAACGGATCCGGAGACGATGCGCATGTTGGCTATCGTGAGTTGGTCTTTTTTGTACTCCGAGTTCAAGGTCTTTAATGACCAATGCCGACGCAAAGCTGATTCTTCGTACTACCTAAAAGCTCAATATCTGCAATCCGATTCTATACGGCGTTTCCAGCGTCCTTGTCAAATGGAGCATCCTCGCATTATACCTTGCAATCTTTCCCCAAAGAAAGTTCCACTACTGGGTTCATTTTGTGAGCACCGTCAACTTGCTAAATGGACTCGCCATAATTCTCGTCAGCTGCCTGCAATGCCGTCCTCTAGAGGCCTTATGGAATACATCAGTGGTGGGCACTTGCATCAACTTCAGTTATTTCAGCATCTTTAACAGCGTCTTCAACTTTTTATTGGACGTGATCATCCTTCTGACCCCCCTACCGCTCGTCAAACAACTCAACTCGTCGACACGAAAGAAGATCTTACTATCGATCAACTTTGCGCTAGGCGGAAGGTAGCACCAAGCCGGTTCAAATTTCAGCGTCGTCTGGCAGTGCTAATAATCTAGCATAGTGCTTGCATCATCGCAGCTATCCGCGTTCCTTACGCAAGACGAGTGGGAGGCACGGTGAACCCAAGCTGTAAGGGTCGTTCTTAGAATCTTGTTCTTCAAGCCGCAAATCAGAAATGCTGACCGAGATTATTGCCTCTAGGGGATATGATACCGGGAGGGCTACTCTGCGTTGTCGAGGTTGCCGTTGCCCTCTTGACAGCCTCCCTACCTATATACCGTCCACTGTTGAGGTTCTTAGGCATCACCATTACATCGAATTCCGCATCCAACTACAAAGGAGGTAATTTACGCAGTTCGAATAACTTCTTGGGTAGCCAAGTGAGCACCCACATCACGAGCGGCAGAGACATGTCGTCTCAGCAAGCAGGTATCAGTATCACAGACGATATAACGTTGACGACACATACATATGTAGGAGGAGAGTGGGTGCGTGTGGCCGACGAAGATGATGATGCTGCTGGTTTGGTTGTGCCAAATGGATCGGCGCCGTACGCGCGAACCGTCAGCAGCACAATGAGTGATAAGTTCTACTGAAAAGTAGGCGCTTGTGTTCCAAGATAACCGTCCTCGACATAAAATTGAACTAGTATATCAAGTCAGGTACGATGCGCAAATACGAACGCTGTCATTCATTGACTGTCTGTGTGACAACTGATAGACAGCTTCGTGAAGCTTGGGGCTCAATACAATAGCAGATTGGATATACTCTCTCAATGCCAGTGAAGCGCAGATGTCTTTCTCCCTGACCGTTTCAAAGAGAAATACCCCTATTCCATCTCATCTAGACGCCTCTCATCCTCATGGCCGCTTTGAATATTTTCGCAAAGTCGGCCATATGCTCCTTGTTGAGCATTTTTGCATGAATGCCCGGGCAATGGTGGAACTCTGCGCCTGTCCGCGTGAAGTCCACCCAGCGTTCAAGCTTGTTTTCCCTCCAGTCTTGTCGGTCATGAGCCGCGTAAGATGGCGGGTCCGCCACAAACACGTCTAGACTATTGACGTTGCCTCTAGGTTCATAGCTTTGTACATTGACACGGAAGTTCTCGGCAATGTCTGAGATCAACGCAAGCCTTTCAGTGTCAATAGCTAGAGCACTGGCACGTTCAGCATCGCCGACTCCGAGGACATAAGACAGCGCTTCGTCGCGGTTGAGTGTGTGCAAGTGGGGCGTGATGTCCTTCATGGTCTCCTCATCAACGAGCTCCAGGAAAAATGCAATGTGCAAAAGCACATCAATCCAATCCAAGCCGCGCACGTAATGCGCAATGTGTGGCGGGTAGTCGATACTAGCCAGGAACCTTACTTCTCGACCCTGCTTTTCGAGCACCTTTCCAACCTCGAAGGCGAGCGTGGAGCCAAGTGAGTAGCCTGCAATGGCATAGGGTCCCTGCGGCTGTGCCTTGCAGATTTCTGCTGCGTAACGTTCCGCAGTCGCCTCGATAGAAGAGAAGAAGGATTCCCCAGGATTGTAACCCCGACTTCTGAGGGCATACACGGGACGGGTCGGGAAGTGTGCTGCAAGAGCAATGAACACGAGGATGTCTCCGCTGCCGGGATGGATACAGAACAAGGGTGTGCCAGATCCATTCTGCTGCAATGGCACAACCGGGGTGTAAACGATTGGATGCGATACGAGCCGGTCAATGGCGGATGCGATAGCGACGACGGTTGGCCTGAGCCGAGTCAAGGATTAGCAACTATGCCTCGGCCAGACAGAAGTAAGATAAGAAGGGCTCACAATAGAGGCTAGAAGAGCGTCACTTACTCTGTCAGCAAGACTGACATGGGGATGTCAACCTGGCCGCCAATCGCCCCCTGTATTCTGGATTTCAGAAGGATGAGATGCATCGAGTCGACGCCGTGGTCAAAGATGGACGTCTCCACGTCAATCTCCACAACAGGCATCTTCAAAAGGTTGGCTAATATGCCCTGCACAACCTTCTCACTGTCAGTCTCGGCGCCCCGCCTTTTGCGCTGTCTGTCTTGGTCGAGGAGCTGTTGGTCTTCGCGCTCAATCGGTCCGAATTGACCACTCTCGAGTGCAGCGCGGATTTTGGAGCGCGAGATCTTGCCTAGTGATGACTTCTCAATCATTGATTGGGGTAAGGGCACTATTCGTGCTGGCTTTTTGCCCGTTATCAAGGAAATCACCCTTGTGATTGCCCTTACTGTCTCGGAGCGCGCACGGAGATCTTCGTCACGGAACCGCGGGGAGTAGGCGATGGCGATACTCTCAGTCGGTGACCCAGCCGTCCGAGTCGGGAAACAAACCGTGAAAGATGGAGTCATTCCTGGAATCCTCTCATCATCGAGTGCGCTTTCCAGCTCGGTTGCACTCCACTTAACGCCATTGACGATGATGGAGTCCTTGATACGGCCAGCCAAATGAAGATTCCCGGCATCATCGATCCATGCCAGGTCTCCCGTAACAAACCAGCCGTCTGAAGTAAAGGAATCTTTCGTCGCCTTTTCGTCGTTGAAATAGTGGCTGAACACCATCTTTCCAGTGACCTGAAGCTGGCCGGTGTGGCCTTTGGGAGCTTCATCTTGGGGATCATGGAGGCTCATGACGCGCATTTCCATCCCTGGTATGCACGATCCCAGGCTCGCGAATTCAACAGATCGTTCAATGTCGTATGAGGGGCAATGTATGGAATAGATGGAACCAGCGCAGGTCTCCGTCATTCCAAATCCTGGGCGTATTACCTCGCCCTTGCAGCCAAGACGGCGTAGTTCTCGCGTGAGCTCATGGCAAGTTGATGTAGGATTTGATTCGCCGCCTGATATCAAAGCCCTCAAACTGTGAAGATTTGCTGTGCAACCTGGACTCGAAACTAGAGCGTCGAGAACCATGGTCAAAAAGAAGTTGGGCGCAAAGGTGTAAGTGACATTGTATGTGTCCAGAAGTCGAACAAAGTGCATTGGGTCTTGAATGAGAGGCGGCGCAGGAACATGAATTTGACTGGCTCCAAGGCTCACTAGAAAGATTGATAAGATTTAGTTTCTTGACTGGCGAGACATCGGAAAGATTCAGCTGCAACTGGAGGGGCTCAGAGGTATTACTCACTTGCATGAAGATGGATTTCTACTAGACTTGCAACATGGTCTAAGCCGACCCAATTGAGAAAGATGTCGGCAATTGTGGTCCCGTGATGTGCGCTTTTCCCAGTGACGGCATCGAGGACTTGGCCGTGCCGGAGTGGAACTGCTTTGACATTGCCTGTGCTCCCGGATGTCAACATCAGCGCCGCGATGCTGCCGGCGTCTGCTTTTTGTCCGGCATCCTGACTCGCAAAATTCTCAACGCAAACAAGGTATTGAAGGTCCTCGACAATTCTAACTTTCAATTCGCTCAAATCGAGAAACTCAGCTGCAAGTTTGTTGGTGGTGAGTATGGTCGGCTCTTTCAGCAGGCCGTGCAGGTGGTGTAGGTGCTTTTTGCGGTGCCCAATGTTATTGACCAGCGGAAGTGACATACATGGCAGAAATCCTGCCAACGTCGCGGCCCAGAACCAGACAATGCTGTCACGCTGTGAATCGAAGTGTATCAACAAGACTGGCTCCGGCGACTGAGCTTGGATGCTGTGGCTGATCAATCTTGCCTTGTCGCGTGCTTCGGCCAAGAGTTCGCGATAGGATAGTGTGGAAGGACCAGGTTCCGCAACAATTTCTGTGTAAAAGTAGAGATGACCCTTTGTCTCGGCCGCTCTTTTGAGTAGCTGGGACAAATTTCGGACCGATCCAGGAGCTTGGAAAGAAGTCATCGAAGCTGGAAAGGCTCGGAGTGTAGCAAGCGATGGCATCTTTGGCTGGGGACCAGCCTCGACATAGGATGGCATGTTTGTATGCATTGTACTGAATTGAGATGCGAGGAATGTTGATTAACGACGATGACAAAAGTCAGATTTCAATGCTCCCACAGAGACTTTAAGCCAGCACAGATTCATGATTTGGGTGGGATTTCAGGCAACTGAAAGGTGGAAAGCAAACAAACATGAAATCTTAACTGCATGAGCCAAGCTACACTTTCCCGCTGCTCAAAGGAACAAACACAAGAATTTAACAGTTCACCCCTTCGTGGTCAGGATTTGTTTGCTATCTAGGTTCCATTTTGCTCGGCAAATTGACCCTTTTTGGCGGGAAACACTGAGCTGTGTGCAGGGCGGAAAGGGATGTTCAAATGCATTGGTCGAATTCGCCCCATTTCCACGTTGAGCCCAGCCAGACAGACGCGTGGAACACAGCATAGCAAGTTGACTTTCCCGCCGTTTCCGACACTTCCTCAGTATCCAGCGGCCACTTTGTCTCCGTGGCCCCCTCTATTGACTGCATAACGAAGTGCATGAAGATTGTGGCAGTGTTCCTCGTCTTCTCCACGCTTGCGTACCTGCGCGGTGCGGATGCCTGGCGCTGTGACACTCGCATGCGTCTTTGTGGCTAGATAGAATGTAGATTGGTCGCATCAACTTTAGCGTCCTTCACACCATAGCAGCCGATGAAATCCTTCTTGATATGTCATTTCTTTATCAGCCCAGACTTGTCCAAGATACAAGTTCTTGACGGTGACTTGCAATCAAAACGGTCTAGGCAACGAAGCCTTATCAGTTAGACCGCAACCATTGCAATACTCGCGACCAAAGTTCTAGGTAATTAGATCTAGGAAGAAAAGAATATCTTACACTCTTGTCCTGGGAAGGCACGAAAGTCGAGGCGAGGGTCGGATCGACAAGAACCGAAATAGTGAGCAAGAGGTAGTACGTACCGAACAGCCCACGTATGAGTGGAGTCAATGACTTAATCAAGTTTGTGATATTAAATAGCAAGACCGATGGGAAAGCCTTTGGCTACGTAAAGCCAGTAGCCTGGTCGAGACACAATGCATGGCCTTTTGTAGCCGCAAAGCTGCCAGCAGTGTGTATCTGAACATTTTTAGACCAAGTGGTCCCGTATTAACCTTTTAGGGTCACAGCAAGAAAGGTGCCAGTCCTCGGTGTAACACTCACTGCAGCTTAATGTATAGCAACAACTCAATGGCCCTGCTCATGTTGTTGGGCGTTCTGTAAGCACATAGATTTCCTAGATAATTATGGTCACCCATGTCATCTTTGAGCCTAGAGCACGATCTTTGTGCGGAAACATACTGATACTTGGCTCATATTATGTTCAATGAAAACTCTTGTTGACACGAGGTCCGCAGACTCTACAAAATCGCGTGAATCTTATATGACAACAAGTAGCGGCTGTGTTTACTCTCATCCAAGCTCATCGTTTACCGACGTCCCTTCTTTCACAACCTGCATTTAAGATGCCCAGCCAAACTCATCAAGCGCGATATGATGAATTTCGTATTGTTCTAGAACAGCTGAACGACATGGCTTACCTGCTCTTTTATCGTCATTCAGGTAGATACCAACTTGACGCGGTTAAGATGTTACGTCACTTTGACAGTTTCCAAGAAGCTTCTCAGGATATTGTTTCGCTAAAGGAGCAATGTGAAAGGAGTTATGATGTGCTTCATGGTATCGACGGCGGTCTTGGTTAGAGAGTTCAAATCGTTTATGGATGGTCAGCTTGGCAATCGCATGGATCCAGCTGGTAGTCGACATTCAACACGAAATAGAGCTTCATGCCCCTCACGTTCTTGGTATGCCACGGACAATTCGCTCTTTCTTTCACACCTCCACGATTGTGGCTCTCGCCTTCTCCACCTCATCGAAACACTAGACCCCGAGTCAAGACCTGCCGTCTCATGGATTCTCTTCCTGCCAGCTCTTCCATGACTCCTAACAGAATCTAGACCTGCGACGTTTGGACGGCCTGGCGATGGTATGTTTCCGGTTATGGATATGAGTTGCTCTTGACATTTTCGCTGCAAGTTGATGAATAGGATGGGTAGAAAGTTATAGCATTGTCGAGCTCCTTCTTCGTATTGGCATCCGAGATATCCAATGCTTGAAGCTCTCGTGGCTTGATCCACGGTATTCAGTACAATACTTACTTGAACGTATTGAAGTACTCTGAATGATCAACGAAGCCGGTAGAGCTTGCGTGTTACAACTTTGAACGTCTGGCTAGATTGACATGAATTGCCTTAATGTTCGAGTAAGCAGCCAGTCCAGCCTCTCCCAGTTCTCTTCCGATCCCGCTCTGTTTGACCCCACCGAATGGAATTCGCCAATCACTATCATTACTCGAGTTAATCCATACCATGCCTGCTTCGATTCTCTTTGCAACAGTATGGGCGCGGGCAAGATCTGTGGAGAACAGAGCGCTTCCAAGACCGTACTCGGAATCATTGGCCAGGGCGATAGCGTCCTCTTCGGAATGGAAGCGACATATGACGACAAAGGGACCAAATACTTCCTCTTTGAAGATCCTCATCTGAGGCGTGACCTCGGTAAAGACTGTGGGCTCGACAAAATACCCAGGGGCGTTAGGTTGGTGAGGCTGGCCTCCAAGCTCGAGCCGTGCGCCCTCTTTCTTGCCGATGTCAACGTAGGAGAGGATTCTGTCGTACTGTGCCTTGGTGACTTGTGGTCCCTGAAAGGTGTTCTCCTCAAAGGGGTCTCCGACCTTGGAGATCTTCATGACCTGATTTCGGAAAGCTGCCAGGAATTTGTCATAGACAGTGTCCTGCACCAAAATCCTCGAGGTCGCGGTACAGATCTGGCCTTGATTTGACATAATGCCAGCATGAGCCCAGTGGACAGCCAAGTCCATGTCAGCGTCATCAAACACAATCAGCGGACTCTTGCCACCCGTTTCAAGCGTAATGTTCTTCAAGTTATTACTCGCCATCTTCATGATTCGTTTCGCCGTCTCGGTGGACCCTGTGAATGCAATCTTATCAACATCCATGTGGGATGCAAGAGCTGCGCCTGCGACAGCTCCGGGGCCGTTGACGATATTGACCACGCCAGGTGGAAATCCTGCCTCTACTACGAGATTTGCGAAATACAAGATGGATAGCGGTGTTTGCTCCGCCGGCTTGAGGACGACAGTGTTACCACAAGCCAAGGCGGGGCCGAGCTTCCAGGCAGCCATTGCCAGGGGATAGTTCCAACTGTAGTCGTTGGGATTTGTTATTGAAGTTCTTAGTGTAGAGAAGCAAAAGGAAGAATGAGGGAGTTGGTGCGTCTTACGGGATGATCTGGCCGCAAACCCCCACTGGTTCGCGGGCTGTGTAGGCAAACTTTTCAGGTGTAGTCTCGATTACCTGGCCGAATACCTTGTCTGCAAAACCGCTGTAGTACGTCAAGGTCTCAATAGCCTCGGTGAGATCCTCGTTGAGAGATACCGAGTATGGCTTGCCGTTGTCCCATGTCTCGATAGTTGCCAGTGTCTCGCGGTGTGCTTCCATCAATTCTGCAAGGCGCACCATGCATTTCCCGCGGTCCGAGGCAGGCAGGTCTCCCCAACTTGGGTGATGAAGGGCTCTCCGCGCAGCTTGAACTGCTCTATCGACATCATGAGCCGTCGCTGCGTACACTGAGATGATTTCTTTTTCGTTGCTGCGCAAGTTTATTAGCGACATGGATTTGGGGCACCGTGAGGAGATGTGAGATCATACGTAGGATTGATGCTGGCTATCTTGCCGCCATCAGACGATTCTATCCACTGGTTGTTGATGAACAGCCCTGTAGGCTGGAGGTATGTTCGCCCATTTGGGGCGGTCAACTTCACAGAAGCCATTGTGTGTAGTCGGGTAGTTCAGGGCTCGTATGAAGTGCAAGAAGAAAAGGAAGTTTGCTAAGCTCTCTAAACGCAGTAAGTTTTCATTTCCTAGAACGATCACGTCTGATTGCAACGAGCGAGAAATGTTTTGAGAGAACTTTAAGTCATCTGCGAAGGGCCAAAAGAGCTGTCAATCACTGCCGTTGTTTGCCTCTATCTAAGGACGAATGAGGCCATTGCCGAAACCCGTTACCATCACCCACATTGTGGAGTCTTGTTTGTGAGAGGTGCCCCGGCCCGGGATAGCACTCTCTCCCACCGGGTGCCTGCAACGCAACGCACAAGCACTGTGCGGAGCTACCAGTTTGCAAGCTGCGACAAAACGAGGCTTAAAGCTGACCGATACCGCATATCTTTGTCAAGCGTATGGGTGTGTGAGGGGAAACCACGTTTGGGATCACTGTGGAGTGTCTTCCCGACGGCTAGACGCGCTCGGAACGCGGTTGTTGGATGAAAGACATCTATGTCCCGACCACGGCACTACGAGAGGGCGCCATCGTACGCCAAATTAGGAAAGAAATTTGGCCAAGCTGCTTACCCTGGTGACTCCGCGTGCCAGGTACCAGCTCTAGCTCGCCGAAGGACCGATGGTAAACCGGAACCAATGTGCCAGGGTGCTCCTTAGTCTCGCCGCACCGCTGGGATCAGATCAAGTTGATCAGATGGCTGAGAGCCAAGCTCAATCAGGAAAGAAACTAGGCCATGCTCTAGACAGTGACCAACGTTTATCAACGCTGGTAGGGATACAGTACCCCGTAAATACCTTGAGCCTAAAGCTGACTTCAAACGCGTTCTGAGCATCGAAATAGTTCAATGATAAGCGGCTAGCGGACCCCGTAGTGAGTTCATGTTCGGGGCTAATCATGATACTCCTTCCTCGGGGTGCATGTCTCGACTCAATGGAAAGCGATAAGCCCAAGTTGCGCGACTCCGCGAGGTGTACACTTCACGGGTCACGGGTCATGATGTCCTTCGTAGACAGACGACGGAGTACGGATATCTCACTGAGTGAGACTTGATGTACAAGGTGGGGGACCCATCGATTAAAGATTGCTCCATGGATGGCAGCCCAAGGGACCATCTCATCCACTCCTCGAAGCACATTTTCCGAGCTGCACTAAGTATGCAGATACAGGTACCAGTTGAGAAGCCAGAACTTTTCAAAGACTCTTTTAGGGTTGCCCTCGTTTACACGATTGTGCGTGAGCTAAGACACCATACGTACACTCGGCAATCATCGCTGACCTGCTGACATCTAGAAAGAAAGTGGTTTTTGACAAATCTGCATGTTGTCCAGCGTCGTAGCTTGAGATGATGAGATGACCGAATTCACACAATAGCAACTTCCATTCCGCTTGTGCCAGGTGTGCCAGGAATAGTTTGTGGCCAAGCCAACAGATCCAACCCCGTTCTTCTTTACATCCCTTTCCAACATGTAGCGCTGACCCAAGCTTTCCTGGTGGAGTGATTGCCGACACCCGCAATGACACTATACAACACATGTCAACGGACCGCGAGCGACATGGCAGATTTACCTATGTACAGTAGCAAGCTGTCTTCTCTTCCCATGTCTCCTTTCAGGGCAGCAGAAGCTGAAGCGTTCAAGAGACGGCACTCTGGTCATGTTGCATTTTCCCCGCGGCATCCGGCCACTTACTAAAGAGCCCACTAGGTAGAAATGGGTCTAGGATGGGGGGCTTCTTATCAGCTCGGTAATGCAATTAGCTTGGATTGGTCTTGGTCAACAGCTATTTGACTGGGGCCACCCATGACGTTGCGAACTCTTCTGATGGGGCACTGACTCGATCCACGCATACTGGGAACGACCCGCCGATACCAGCTCTGTGGGGCTCACCCCGCGATTCCAAGGTGTCAATTGTCTGAACTAGTACGTAATTCCTGCAGATAACGCGACCTCGATCTTGTGATAGCGGGAGTAAGTAACTCGTGATGGTTCGGGAACTTGGAGGCGAACAGTTGATGAAGGCATTTACTTCGATGGCGCAACGGCTGTCAAACCTAAAACAAGTACTCGTCGACCGGGCCGTGACTTTGACGGAATACAATGCCGGACCACTTTGTTGTAATCTCCCTGGCACAGCGGGTGTAGGTAGACTGGTCACACTCACAGCCAAAACATACGCAAACACAGGCAGTGTGTCTGTACGCGCACTGCGCTCTTATTCGATCTTGCGGATCTTCATCACACCAATCTTGATACAACGTACTGTATCCGTATCCGAATCGAATATCGGGTGCTGCCAGCACAGGACAGAAGGGCGTTAGGGAACGAGCGCGACATTGATCTACCCAGTCTGTTGCAACCTTGCAAGCAATCCGCCTTCTTATCAATCCCAGGGGAATATTTCGGGCGCTGACAGCCCATCCTTGCATCTCATACAAAAAGCACTTCGCACCTCTTGCAAGCCATCACCTTAATCCCATACCCCATCTCGAGTCCCATCACAACTCAGACAACGCACCCGCACGAAACGAAACCACACGGAATTTCAATAATTGAATTCGCCATTAAGCCAACTTAGGTGTTCAATCTCTGTCCCGAGCTATGGAGAATGACCCAGAATCGAATCCACCGCTCGACCATCTAAAGACCGCCGATCAGGTCGCTCAAGATGCGCAGGATCTCGCCTACCTCGGCCATGACCAGGCCCTTTCGCGAAAATTCAGCAGAATGAGCATGCTCTTCCTCGCCATATCCGTCCTGGGAACTTGGTCTACATTTGCGCAAGGACTTTCGAGCGGCATCACCAGCGGCGGACCAGTTGCTATTCTCTGGGGCCTCGTCCTCGTCCTGTTTTGCAATATCTGCGTGGCCGTATCATTGGGAGAGCTCTGCAGTAGTATGCCCACAGCTCTGGGACAGGCGTACTGGATATTTCGTCTGTGGCCGTCTGGCCGCTTTGTGTCCTACCTCTGCGCATGGATCAATACTTTTGGATGGTGGACGCTTTCTGCCTCACAAGTTGCTTTCATGGCCAACTTTATCTTGAGCATGAAGGTTCTCTTTGTGCCGGACTGGTCCGAGGTCAGTGTTGGATGGATCAACTTTCTTCTATATCTTGCCGTCACTCTGGTGGTTACGGTCGCCAATCTCGTTGCCTGCCGGAAAGATGCTATCCTGCCGGCGTTCAACAACTTTGTCGGCATCTGCTTTATCGGACTCTTCTTCATCTTCAGCCTGGCCCTTCTCATCTCCGTTGGAGTCAGACCAAACTTGCAGTTCCAGCCAGCCTCATTCGTCTTTGGACAATGGATCAACCAGACTGGTTGGGGAGACGGGGTGACCTGGTTTACAGGCCTTCTTCAAGCTGCATATGGGTTGACGGCCTTTGACTCTGCTGTCCATTTGGCTGAAGAAATCCCGGCACCTCGCAAAAATATTCCGCGCGTCATTTGGCTTTCAGTCACACTGGGAGCTCTTACTGGGTTTATCTTCATGGTGGTGTGTTTGTTCTGTATCCAGAATCTTGACACCATCCTGAACCCTCCTACTGGTCTGCCTTTCATGGATCTCGTTCATGAAGCTGTCGGACTCCAGGGGGCAACTGTCCTGCTCTCCCTATTCATCTTCAATGGTCTTGGTCAAGCTATCAGTATTGTCACCACCGCCTCTCGTCTAACCTGGGGATTTGCGCGAGATGGCGGAATGCCCTGGAGCAGCTACTTCTCTAGGGTGAATGAGGCTTGGCGTGTGCCGGCTCGCGCATTATGGCTTCAGGGGGCCATTATTGGCGTTGTTGGCGTGCTCTACACGTTTGCCAACACGGTGCTCGAGGCGATTCTCAGCGTCAGCACAATCGCCCTTACGATATCTTATGGGATGCCCATTCTGACTCTCCTACTCGTCGGGCGAGACAAGCTTCCGCCTGGAGAGTTCAAATTGGGACGCCTCGGCCCGGCAATCAACTGGATCTCCGTCATCTACTGCGCTATTACTACGGTGTTTTTCTTCTTCCCATCGGCACCCAATCCAGCACCAGCTGATATGAATTACGCAATCGCAGTCTTTGGGGTCATGATGGTGGTGACTCTGGGCTTCTGGTTCATCAAGGGGCAGTACACGTATCTCAAGACGGATGATGCGGCAGAGCGAATCATTGAGGCTCAGAATGCCGAGGTGACTATTGCTCCGGTTCCTCGCAAGGTTTAAGCGCTATCTTCGAGCAGACAAATGCAATGTACACGCTGTAATTTTTTACACTTTGAGTCTTCCTATGCAGAGCATTTAATTCATTATCCTATGTTTCCGTAAACGAGGCTTGAAGCCGGGACATGGTTCAACCTCAGTCAACCTTAGTTTTACATAGTACACTCGTTGATCTTGGTATCCTGAGTTAATTACTCCATGTTGGCACTAAATAGACATTTCTTGAATTCCATGCCTGAATCCTTCAGATTCAAGAATAAAGTCACTGCTGCGTAGACGCATTCAACATAATCAACTAGCGCACGTGATATGTGTGTGCCATATTCATTACCAGTGGAACCCGTTCCTAAGACAAAGTGGGTTGATGGAGATTTGAGCCCGCCGGCCTTGGCACGCCCGCCCGCCCACCGTTCCGTTGAGCGCATCTCACCCCGAGATGAGTGCCGATTCAGCCGCCGCCGCCGCCCCCTCGGTTCAGGGGCTGGGGATCCCTGGGGGGCTGCATGGTCGATTTTCCTTCCTAATTCAGTAAGTAACTTGCCCATGGCATCCCTTAGTCTTGGCTAGACACCTCATGCACACCTCTCGTTATTCACACTTACTTTCACCTTGACACACTCAGATCTCAGAACCAATCTGAATGTCTCTTCTCTGTTGCTTCAAAGCGCGCTTCTGATTGCAATCCCCTCTACCTCGAGATCGAACCTGAGTACTCAATTACGAAATCGCCCGGCAGCAATGCCGGTCCACTTGTCGCACCCCGGCCCGGTCTCTGCTCTCCCCAAAATCTCCGCCTTCCGCTGTTCCGCTACAGAATGGGGCTAAGCAGCGCCGAAATCGCCAAGCGCGAGTCGCTTGACAGGGACTCCCGGCGACAGGGCCCCTGAAGACGCCAGAGTTGCTTGCACTGTGGTCTTGACATGATGGTACACATTGCAATTTATCTTACGTTTGTCATTAGGAGAGCTCCGCAAGACGCTGCAGTTGACACTCGTACGATTGTCACGTCCACATGCGCCCCAGCATCACTTTTCCAACTATAAGAGGTAGACTTGCCCGCAATACGGTTTCGGCTTCTATTTGTTACCAGTCACATCTCTCTACAAGGAACCAAACCGAAGACTACTTCGCATCGTTTTCACACCAGCCCTCCATCCTGTTTGCCAGGTCTCTCACTTCATCACTTATCAACAATCGACCTTGGTCGAATCACAAATACCACCGTATGGAATATTTGCACAGCCCAGACAGCCCTCATCATGATTGCAGACACCTCTTCTATAGCCGGCTACACAATCTTCCGGGAAGAGCCCAGCGATACCGTTCCAAATCTGTCTACTCAGCATCGAGTACATCCTCTGGGTATGACCATCAACTCCCTTGATTCTGCATTATCAAGATATTTGAGCTAATGACTGACTCCTTCTTAAAGATCAGCTATCGATTGAGGAGATTCAGCTTGCTGCGAAACTCATCAAGAACTATGCTAGTCCCAAGGACCTCAAATTCAACTGCCTGACTTTGCGCGAGCCCAAGAAGAACGAATACGCTGCCTTCAAGTCTGGTCTCGGCCCTCGCCCTGAACGCCGCGCCTTCGCCATTGTCATCACCAAGGGGACTTCCCAGGTGACTGAAGTGGTTGTCAACTTGGAAAGCACCCAGGTGGAACTGTGGAAGGATGTCGCCGATGTTGCCCCGACTCTCACCTTGGAGGATCTCGACATCTGCGAGACCGTCACTCGAGCTGACCCTCGCGTTATTCAAGCTTGCCGCGAAATCGGCATCTATGACATGTCAAAGGTCTTTATTGACGCGTGGGCCATTGGATTTGATCATCGATGGGGTACCGATCGCCGCCTTCAGCAGGGCATTGTCTACTATCGCAATTCTCCCGACGACAACCAATACGCCCACCCGTTGGACTTCTCGGTCGTTGTCGACACTGAAAAGGCCGAAGTTCTCTCCGTCGACATTCGACTGGTCAACGGCGAGCGCACCAAGGTGTCTCTCCAGGAGCACAACTACTTGCCTGAATTCATCAGCAGTGGCTACCAGGACAGGCTCAAGCCCATCGACATTAGCCAGCCGCAGGGCGTTTCTTTCCGCATGGACGAGAACGAGATCTCATGGGCGGGATTGAAGATGCATATTGGCTTCAACTACCGTGAGGGCATTGTTCTGTCCGACGTCAGGATTGACGACGAGGGCCGCGAGCGAAGCCTCTTCAACCGCATCAGCGTGGTTGAGATGGTGGTACCTTATGGCAATCCGGACCCCCCGCACCAACGCAAGCACGCTTTCGATGTGGGCGAGTATGGTACTGGCTTCATGACCAATTCCCTTAAGCTCGGATGCGACTGCAAGGGAGCTATTCACTACATGGATGCCATCATGGCTGTTGGGAGCGGTGAAGCGGCTATCGTCAAGAATGCAATTTGCATTCACGAGGAAGACAATGGCCTGCTTTATAAACATACCGATTACCGCGACGGTACCGTCATCTCAGCCCGCGACCGCAAACTCATCATCTCGCAGATCATCACAGCTGCGAACTATGAGTACTGCTTCTACCACACATTCCTCCTGGATGGTACCTACAAGCTGGAAGTCAAGTTGACGGGTATGCTCAATACCTACTGTATGCACCCCAGTGAAACGGCGGCCCCATACGGTACAGAAGTCGCCCCGTTCATCAACGCCCATAACCACCAGCACATTTTCTCTCTGCGGGTGGACCCAGAAGTGGACGGCCCCAACAATTCGGTCCTGCAGAATGATGCTGCGCTTTCCGATGATCCTCTCGGGTCCCCTGGCAATCTCTATGGTAACGGCTTCTACTGTAAGAAGACACCCATCCCAATTGCCGGTGGCGCCGACTATTGCCATGAGACGGGCCGCTCTTGGGACATCATCAACCCCAACAGCATCAATCCCGTGGCTAAGAAGCCTGTCGCCTACAAGATTCTCAACAACAACTGCCCTACCATCCTCGCTAAGCCTGGAAGCATGGTAGAGAAGAGGGCTGCCTTCACCCGCAAGGCGCTCTGGGTCACCCCGTACAAGGACTATGAACTGTTTCCAGCGGGTGACTATGTATGCCAATCGAGCGGCCATGAGGGCCACCCGCATAACTCAACCATTGTGGACTGGGTCAGCAAGAAGGAGCCGGTTGAGAATACCGACATCGTCTGTTACATCCAGTTCGGTCTGACACACTTCCCGCGCACCGAGGATTTCCCGGTCATGCCGGCTGAGCCTGTTGGGGTCATGATCAGAGCCTCCAATTTCTTCAAGAAGAACCCAGCTCTGTGGGTGCCGCCTTCCATTGTTGCCGTGGACAAGACGTCCAAGAACGCATTTGCCAAATCGGAGCCCGCCGAGTCGTGCTGTGGCACCAGAGACAGCAAGTTGTGAAGCCCCAGGTTTTGGCAATAGGCTCTGGAACGATAGCCGCGGGTGCAGGTGTTGGTAGTAGCATTCGAGCTTTATAGTAGTACCTTATATGTAGTACAGTACAGTCATTCCCGCAAAGTAATAAAACCGAATGCTGATCTTCATCACTATCAAGTCTTGTGTTTCCTCCGGCCAGGAATTTGCATGTGATGACCTGGCATTTTGTTTATCACAGTTGAGAGAATGGCTCACCCCGAGATGAACCTGCATAAAGTAAGTGTTCAGGACCTCATTGCCATGAATTTGGGTCGATTATAAACACGTAAATGAAGTAAGATTGCTTATGGACCACATGTTCGTTTCGACCGCTTTATTGCGTTGCAGATGTGCATAACACTTCCTTCACCGCTCATAGCCCGACCGCACGCTACCTTAGTCAACAAGTCACAGCACTAGGACGTGTGGGCTGAGATGGCTGAATATTTCAAGCCAGGTCTTCTCTCCAGATTTGGACGGCCAAATGGTCTTGAAAAAAGATTTGACCGCGTCAATAGAGGCAAATCGCATATCATCGTATATCACGTCAGCCATGTCAAGAACGGCCTTTTGCTCTTCAGCCGATGAAACGTGGGCTCCGGCGATGAACAGCGGGAAAACGATGCAGTTGAGGTTGTTTGCCTCCCGAGGGATCTCAAATATGCAAGCGAGGCAGGATTTGACATGCTGCTGCACAAGCGGGTGACGGGTCGGAAGGCCACAAATGGCTCTATACAGGTACAGCAAGGCGGTGTGTTGGAAGATGCGGACAAGGGTGAACGCATGTACAGCCTCGGCTTCTGTCGCAGACGTAGAGCAGTCGGATACTTCGGAGGGGCTCCGGCCGTCAGCATCGGCGACAGTCAGTGGCGCATAGACTGGACGAAGGGACGCTTCGAATTCGCGGATGCGCTCGATAGACAGATCCTCGGCCATGCTTGTCGTCGCTTGTAGGTACAGGCCCATCTTGGCGATTTCGCGAAAGACAGACGCGAGGGAGCACCTACCCAACGGGTCACGACCCCACCAAACAGGGCCCTTATCGAGCCGGTGCCACACGTCAGGAGGGAATGCCGGAGGCTTACCCTGGATCATGGATGTTGTGAGATCCGTCGTCGCGAACTCTGAGAGCAGCATATGCAGCGGCTCGGGGGCTGTCGACACTACGGCCTCGATGCCACCTAGATGCTCGAGGATAGCTAGGATGCCATTGTAATGACTAGAGGTCGAGGCTGACTTGAGGATGCAACCCATATATCCGTCATCAAAGTACAAGAGGATGACGGCAAATAAGAGCCCGATCGTGGGTCCATCCCTCTTAGGCTCAACGCAGCAGCGGTCTATCTCGGTTCGAACGGCAGCCAGGCACTCCAGCCGCTTCTTGCCGAGGGAATCGTGGTCATGCGTACCGTCTTGTAGGAGCCTGTGAGAGTCAGACAGCAAACAAGCAGCGAGCAAAACGACGCGGTGCTCCAGAGCCACCGAACTTGGAGGAGCACACGGTTCCTCAGCCGTGGAGAGAAGTGGCCAGACGCGAAGGTGGAAATAGTCAAGAGCGCGCCGCTCGCACACTTCAAGATAAACGGTCAAGTGCAAGTCGTTCCGTGGGATGCAGTAGGCTGGAGGAACATGAGGAGTTGGCCTTGTGCTCCATCTGATAAGTCGGCTATTGTAATCGCACTTGGTGCCGGAGGCAGCGCATTGGCGGCAAGTTGGCTTAGAGAGACTGCATTTAATGCGTCGCTTTTTGCAGGACCAACATGAGCCCTTCACAACTCTGACTCGGTTGGGAGGCATGTTCTCCGGGAGTTTTGATGGTTGTGAATGCGAGGCTCAGATAGATTCAAGCGATGGACTTGTGGATTGGAATCTTCTCGGTGGGCGTTGACGAAGTAGGAGTCTCTGCAGCATGCCCAGTTTAGCGGCATTCAATCTAGGACTGTTGAGAGAAACGGAACTTGGAAGGCGACTCACATCCGGCATACTTGAGCTACTGGGCACTCTCTGCCAGTATAGGCAACAATATGTGTTGCCACCAAATTGATTCCGACTTGAACGATCCATGCGGCAGGTAAGGCGGGTTTTTGACGAAAAGAGGAGGGACAGAAGGAGGATGCCGAGAGTTGAGAAGCAAGCAGACGCCTGTGATGGGAAGGCCAATACCAGGAGAAAGTAAGACACGGGTCTTGAGGGGGCCTTGCTGTTGACGGCAGCAAAGCGTATGAGAGTGACGGCGAAAGTGTCTTCCGACGCAAGTGTATCCCGTAGATGAATCGAAAGAAAGGTTGCAGTTGGTTCGACAAACGGGAGCGGGGAGAACTTGTAGGAATCCAGACTTGTCCGGCCATGGGTTCGGGCAGGGAGCCAAGGAGGAGGGATCTTCCCAGCGAGTGTGTGCCGGGCTCGTGTGACTTGGCTGCTTGGTTACGTCCATTGGGGGGACGGAATGCGCTAGGTGGAGATGCGGGGCAGCCCAGCCCGACGGCACTAACATTGGATGTATCAAGGATTACGTACTCTGGACTGCATCCTCCGTATCGGAGAGAGAGATAAGCAGCACCTTGATGATGTAAGCAACGCTCCCAAGCCCTCAAGGTCAGCACGTGGGAAGGTAAGGTACCTTACCTAAGTCTTAAGCTTCCCGCGGGAGATGGATCATAATCTCTTATCTAAGGTTTTGTTGCTGCTCGATAACGCTCTGGATAAGATAAGCCCCACGTGAACCAAGTAAGGTAAGCTGATCCTGTTCGAGCTTATTGTCTGAATGTGACTTGGTTATTTTCTGATGTAATGCCATCAATTGGTCTTGGCATCATCGAGGTGCCAATAAGTACTAGATAGATCACCTGCGAACTGTGAAGACAACACAATGACTCAATTAGTGTACGTTGAAGTCTCCGTGCAAAGGAGGATGTAATGAGACTTTGAGTATTGATACAATTCCTCATCTCGTGTGGAATAGGTTCCTTGTAGGACAAGCAAGGCCAGTCCTATGTTGTACTTGTATGCTTCGGCCTTTCCGTTAACGTCTTCGCAGCTAAATCTTCCTCCTTCTGGCTCCCTTTCTGGTCCTTGGTCGTCCCTCCACTGTTTTGCTTGCCTTTGGCTGTCTTTTCATCTCCGACCGCTTCTTCATGCCAGCCCGGCACAAGCTCATTGTCGGCCTCCCCTTCGTTGTCATCCCACCCTCTCAGAACTCTTCTTGCCGCTTCTCTACCGACAACGGGCAGTCTCTCAACGCCAATCTTGCGCCCTGCTTCTGGCACAAGATTCGGGTCTAGCAAGCCAACTTGCACCAACACGCTCGCTTGATCCCAATACACATGCTCGTGGTAGAGTTTGCCTCCTCTCAGCCCAACGATGCTAACGACAAGCACCTCGACTCGTTTGTTTGTTGCTGGAATGCCTGGCAGAATCCATGGCATCTCTTCCGTGTGTTTGAAACGGACGTGAACCTCATCAACGACACGATCAGTCCCGATAGTGCGGGAAATAAGCGTGAGTTTCATTGACGGGGGGTTGTTGAAGAATTGCTTGTAAAACATTGCCAGCTCTTGGGCTCCGACCCCTCCGGTCAATGTCGGCATATGAGTGACGTGGGGCGTCTTGTGTGTTGTGTACGACGAGAGGGTTTGGTTTAGGTTGCGAGTGAAGAACTTGCCTGCAAATAGGTCAGCTTTGAGTCTTGGGTCAGAATATGCCTCACGCCCCTCGGCCCGATATCATGAGGACATCGCAAGCTCGTTCCCCACACAGCGAAGAGCAATTCGTTCAGAAAGTGAGGGGACAAACTGACCCTGCACATTTTGCTCCAACACGAGCTCCAAGTCGGCATGATTATTGAACGCCTTCCTCGCCGCACCAAGGCTTCGGCTCCATGCCAATTCAGCGGAAACTTGGTGGTATTCGTCCAAATCGTGCTCTGCAAAACCGGGCTCCGCATCGTAGGTGTAAGTCGGATACGCCAGCTGCAACATTCCGCCAATGCCCATGCCGTTTTCCACCTTTTTGCGAGTCGTGCGTCGTTTTCCTTGAATCCCGACCATCTGGCTCCGCTTTGTGACACCAATCTCCTCACCCGCGGCGAGATGGACAAGAGCGGAAATGCTGCTGGGAAAGTGACCCTTGGGATCAGGGATCGCCGTTGGGTAGTATGCGATGAGAAGACCCAGCTTGAACTCTGGATTGTTGTCCATGACATGATAGTGTTCAAGACAGGCAGCTGCGGCATCTCCGTATGCTTTTGGATGGTCGGGTGAGCTTTTGTATCTTCAATGTTCTCTTTGATTTTGTAATGGCACTTTACTAACCCACGATTCCAAATGTCTCACAAGGGCCCATATTGGTTTTGCTCAACGATCGGAGTTTGTCCCGGTACTCTTTCGCGTTACCCCCCATTGGGAGGTATTCCACGTCGAAGTCCTCATCGCGCCACTCGTCTAGCGTGAGTTGGTCAAACTCTTCACTTTCCGCACTGATATACAACTTCGGTCGACCTCTTGGGAAGTCCTTGGACAGGAAGTTAGGATCTCTGTGGACCGGGCGGTTCCAATTGTCCGAGACGATGCGCGCATTTCGCCCTTCGGAATCCGGCACAGCGGCCTTGACCAGCTTCGGGATGTCGATATTCATGATTCGTTAATCTCACAGTCTCGGTATACCTAAGTCATGCAGATAATTACTGCTCTATGAAGTGTATAGGAGAGTAGAAACGACTCACTCCCATTTATAATACATCGTGGGAGAACTTGAAATCGCCTGGTTGTGACGTCATGCCTGTCCCCAAGCTGTCGTCCACAGACCCGTTCGTCTGTGGAGTGCATTCACAACCAATCACATCGCGCAAGAGGTGAACAGACGAGGTCTTCTTTGTGAGCGTCACTGTTTCGTGTTCACTTACGTTCGGACTTACCTGAAGGTAGTCCTATTCACAGAAAGATGACAGGTGCACGTTTCCATGCGCCCATCTCAGATCCTTGATACTCTATTTTGTGGAAAGTGAACATAAGACTTTATCTTGGCATGCGCTAAGATGTCACGGGATATGGCGTGCGCTGCGCCAAAATTTAGACAGATTGGGCCACCGAATGCCGGCGAAGATGATGTGCGTGAAGGTGAGATTCTGAAGACACAACTCTCCCTATCATAAGGTGGTCCTAACTAAAGCCATTTCTTTTGGGCATCATTTGACCGGCTCAGCTGTGTGCTTCGCGACAGCGTTGTATCGTGCCCGACGCAAACTTTTATTTACTGTGTCCTGCTCGCTGCTCAAGAAATGCGTGTTCCAACTTGGGAGCATAGCCTACGAGAGAAGGCAGCGCGAATGGCCTGCACCTTCAAAGTCAATTGGCATCTGGGTTTGACGGCGTTTGGAGGGCCTCCAGTGCATTTCAAAATAGTACATAGGGCATCACTATCTCCATCTCATTGAGGGCAGCTACTTACAGGTGGGCTGGGTTAGTTCCATGATCGATTCGTGAGACGTCTGCAATGGGTCGATGATCAAATGGTACGACCTTTTAGTTAAAACTATTCGCGAACCATCGATTTCACTTGCTAATATCATGTTAACCTAGTATCAAGAGCTGTTCAGCATCTCCCAAGCTCTTTCTGGGCCGGCCAGCACCAAGATGCTTTATTGCATCAATCTCATCCAAGACGGCCTCCTCAGCGCCATTTTGGCCTTCATGATCTGGAGGTATGTGCTCCCGGGACTCCTAAGCAATCCACACGATCGCAAACCCGACTTACAATCGCATCCCAGCTTACCCGGTGCCTTGGGAATGTACGGCCTCTCTTTGGGCGTTTCTAATATCGGCTCAAGTCTCCCGCGCGCAGTCTATGCTCTTCTTTCTGGCCTCAACGCTGCCACTGTCGGCATCATCGCCCATGCAGCCGTGGAGCTCTCGGACAAAAGTATCAATGACAAGCTTACAAGGACACTCGTGTTTCTCTCTGCCGCAGCGGGCATAATGTATAACGCGATATGGTTCTTTCCAATACTCATGTGTGCTGCGGGCTGTTCGGCTATCGTACATGACTACCGCTGGATTCAAAAGCCAGCGATGCGGGCCAGAGAGATGATGCGAGCGTTACTCGGCAAGAGACAAGGTGGATCATTCATCCCAACCCGCCAGGGTGTGGACGTTGGCGGTGAAATTCACCTCCCATCAAGTAGGCGAACGTCCACGCCGCAAGACAGAAACGCCGGCCATACGGGAATCTCACTTGCCATTCTCCGGCCTTCATCATCCGAGCATCAGGCCGCCAGTACCTCGCGCACCGAACAGGGTCCAATTGCACCGCCTATGGAAGTCGATGCACGTCGCTCTCTAGCTGGATCCGAGCCGCGGATCATTCCAAGGGAATTTCAACTGCAATTTTCCTGGAAAGCTGGCGCTGCCATCATAGCAACCTTCTTCGCCACTTTCATCACTGTGATGGCCATCCGAGGAATCATCCCAGATCCTCCAGTCCTTTATAAGCTGTTCTCTAATCTCTACCTTGCGGGTACCATTATCTTTGGCGGCGGCCCTGTAGTGATTCCGTTGCTTCGGGAGTACATTGTGGTCGAGGGCTGGGTATCTCCGAGGGATTTTCTAATCGGCCTTGCCATTGCGCAGTCCTTCCCTGGCCCCAACTTCAACTTTGCTGTTTTTCTCGGCGGCCTGACCGCCGCCAATGCGGGATATCCTGCTAGCATAGGCGCTGCCATCGCCTTTTCTGGCATCTTCACCCCGGGACTGGTTCTCGTTCACGGCACAATGGGCGTTTGGGGGGCGTTGCGGAGCAGGCCCTGGGTGAAGGCCATGGTGCGGGGCGTGAACGCCTCAGCCGTCGGGCTTATCTACACTGCAGTCTACCGGATCTGGCAGGTTGGGTACCTTGACGAGGGCTTCCAGTCAGGGAAGAGTTTAGGTGACGACCCATGGTGGGTTGTTGTCACAGCTACTGCGTATGTCGGGGGACGATATTATAAGTTGGCAGCGCCGTTGGCGGTCTTACTCGGGGCGACGATGGGTTTGATTAGGTATGGCGTTGTGTCTACGTAGATGTTAGCTTTAGATTAAGGCGATGAGCTCGAAAAGGGCTTTGGGCTTGCTGCCTGACCTAGCAACTTAGCCCATTCGCCACGACTGTCTTACAGACAAAAGGTGGAGAGAATACAAGAGAACGGAGATAAGCGTCCAATTGTTGGTAGCTTCCCTGTTGACTTGAAGTCAAACCCAGTTGAAATTCTAACTCTGAGCGATGACTTGTAATAATTGCGTAAACAAGCTTGGGGTCGGTCTGAAAACATTGATTGAGGCTCCAGGTTACTATCTGTTGCACGACGTATGAAAAGTGTGTTGATCAGCCCAAGAGGGTTCGAGGTACTGGGTGGACGAGCATGGAAGAAATGCAGAGACATTTTGAGACCTCTTCGCTCAGTTGATATCAGCGATATCTCATCGCCGCTCAGGAGATCACCTTATACCCTTCATCGTTGGCCAATCTTCCACATTCTATCAATTCTTCTCCTCTCGGTGCATGTATCTGTGATACCCCAATGCTGTTCCTAACACAGAATGGTTTTGAATATTCCCGTACTGATCAATATTCACTGTCAGAGTGACAACAAAGTTATCAGTATCCTTGAAATCTTTACGCTCAGTCCATGGCGAACAATTAGGTAGAACTCACAAACGCGTCAAGCCTCTCACTGCCCGGAGTAATTGGTAATCTTAGTGCTGCTGCCATTGTTGGTTGACCTTTTGGAGCACGATGAACTTTCAATCTGACACAAAAGATTGTTCAATATTCTACTTAGGGATGATGGATATTCTCTCTAGTGTTTATTGTACATCCCGACTGATGCTCGATCAACTCAGCCGGCACAGCAACCACGGAGGTGAGGGAGACAGCGAACAAGAACATGTGACACGTTTGCATTCTACATCAATGACTAAGTCGTGTGGCGCAATTTGAGGATGATGCGGATGATGGTTCTTCTACTCAAATTTGCGTGATAAATTCATCTAAATGATGCAGCAAAACGAATGAGACGACATTTATCTTGTACTGTATGAGGTAAGGTACTCGGAATCAGCTTGCGGAAGGGTTGAGACGGCAGTATCAAAACCTGTCTACAGACTTTCTTCGCACTCAAGGATTTGCGGCAGCTTGGTTCGCTTCAAATTCACAACTTGTCGAGGATTGCAGGCTCCGTATAAGGGAGCAGATTCGAGGTTGATTCTTTTGACTTATGAAGCAACCGGCTTCACCCACGTGCTGAAGACTATTGTTTTTCTTTTGCACATAGGTAGCTGAACCCGGGACTCAACGAAAGCCGCACTATCACCGGCCATCCACAAGACGTCTTACTAAGCAGTCCCATGGTTTACCGCACTACACAACCCAAGCCGACTTGTGAAGTCAAGCGACTGACTCAACTCCTTTGGACACCTCCCCATCGAAGACTCCTTCTTTCAGCAAATCAACCCCAACATCGATAAACTGGGTGCAAGCTCTCTGCAAACATGTCGCGATCCCGGAGCGGGTGCCTAACTTGCAAACGGCGCCATCGCAAGTGCGACGAGACCAAGCCCGAGTGTCTGCAATGTCTCGGTCAGGGTATGAAATGCGCGGGCTACAATGTCGTATTGCGTTGGGATGCCGGCATCGCTTCACGGCGCCGGTATATTACAGGAGCGCCGGAACCGTCAGAGACGCTCCATATCGAGCATATCGAGCCTACAGAGACGACAAGGCCGATGAGGCGCACGTCTAGAGAACCATCTAGTGAGGTAGTTTCGTCGGTCGAATTGGCAATCCCACCAGAACGAGACTTCAGAGGAAAGAAAGGTGTCCCCCAAAAGCCGATTCCAGTGGTTCGCTCTCCAGATCCTGAGATGCCCAGTATATTATCTGAGGCCTTCCAGACGTCCCTGCAACCCCCCATGTCCTCACTAGAGGGATTTTCATGGGCGGGTTGGACAGAGCAGGATCGAGATCTTTACGAAAGATGTACGTCTTCGATCCAAATCATTGTCAACTCAAGGCCGCGGACGAATATTTTCCATGGGCTAAAAGACTTCTGGGCTAACAAACCTTGTCAGTTGATCAAAGCACCATCTTCCTTCTATATTCAACTCATCGAGATGACTGGTTCCGAACAAATCTTCGCCACCTCGCGAGTGACTCGGAAGCCCTTTGCTCTATTCTCATAGCCACTCATCTCTATGTGTCAAGCCCAGACAATCCTTCATCACTGTTCGAGGAGTATTACGTTCGCGGGCTACAATTATTCCGTAAACAGCTTGAGAATCACGACGGCAGCATCAATGTTGGAGTGATGTACGCCGGGCTGTTCATTTGCACGCTTAATGTGAGCCCCCCCCTGAAGGACCTGTATTTGATTGTCGTTTATATTCTAACAATTCCCTTCAACCAACATAGCTTTTCCAAGGCACACCGTGGTCGGTTCATTTGGAACTAATAATGACCGTCTATGGCCTAGGAGGGAATTTGCACGCGTCTGCAGTCCTGGACAATCCAGAGACCCACTTTCCCCTTGAACTCATGGCAGTGATGGACATACCGACGTTCGTCCGCGGCCGTTCCACCATGACACTGTGCCTGTGGCAGAGATTGAGACAGGGCAAGAGAGCCAACAATACGGAGCAGGATGATGGGATTGAAGGAGTTACTAGTTTGCCCAGGTCACTTCTCGATATCTTCTCGTCTATCCAGAACGAAGCTTCAGAAAGTGCCTTCATTTCATGGCCAGGAGAGGTTGGAGAAATACCTCAAATCCATTTATGGGAAGCTTATCGCTTTGCGGGGATCCTTACTGGTCGGCGACTGAGGAAAGACCCATGTCTTTCATCGCTGGCTCTATCCACGGAGGTCATCGTCGGCCGCCTCGTGGCAGCCATTGATGCCCTCTGCGACACGCGGAACCGACCCGAGTATAGCCACTTGCTCACATCTAACTCGCTCCTATATCCATATGTCGCGGCACGGCTAGAAGTTGCCATCTTGCGACGTCGGCCCTCCTGGATGGAGTCGCTGCGCCGAGCTTGCGGTATTTGTCAACCCTACGGCAAAACCGCGAACGCAGATAACATTGCACGCATGCTGGATGAGGCTTGGGAGGTGGGCGACGATGATTACGACATTGATGAGCAAGCCAAACGGAGAAATGCGGAGATCGCACTTTTTTGAGCGACCGTCTCCTGGGCTCAAGACACGGATTAGTGGATGGGATTTGAAGGTTCGACGACTCCATAGTTGCACTGGCGCGATCCGGTAATTATCGAAATTCTGTTTAGCTCGCTCCCCAGGGTAAAATGACAAGGGTTCGCCGGGTACGTTAAACCGTTTTAAGTATGTCTAAGAGCCAATGATGTGTCTGCTCTTTATCGTCCTTCAAGGAAGCGGGTCATCGCTAACTAATACCCCAGATCCGAGTTGGAGTGGAGTTAGTGCTTATCATTCAGCAGCCAAAATTGGACGTCCAGTTAATGCTCTTAACGAGGAAAATGGACACCTGGGCTCCGAGTTCTGAAATATTCAAAAGAATGGATGGCCCTAGACTGTGATTGTCGAACGTGGCACTTGTTGAGGAGGTCCAATTCTAAGGCCCTCTCATTCATAACACTGACATTGAATCTTACGCGATTAGAAACTCGTCAACAAGCAGTACCATGGATGGGCCCCAAGGAGACACGTACCTTCCTCCTGGCAGTGCAAGACTTTTGTCAGGTCAGTTCTTGACCTTCCGCTGTCTCAAGCATGCTGTACTGACATCGTTTGTCATAGAAGAAGAATCCACTCTAGTCCTAATTCCCACGCCAACCTCAGACCCCAATGACCCCTTGGTAAGTCGTTTGCGGCTGTTGTCTGTTAGCTTAAGACTTTGTCAACTGCCAAACTGACTTTGTTCAAGAATTGGAACCTGACCCGAAAATGCGTCAACACTATTTTCGTGCTTGCTGTCACTGTGGCAGTCTTCGCTGCGTAAGACCCCTCTCCCCCCTCTATGCCACATTTCTTGGGGCATTTCAATCAATTGAGTAACTATTCCAATAACGCTCGGCCTTTAGAATGACTATGCAGATGGTTTTCTGGCAGCAAATGACGGTCGAGCTGGATATGACCTACGACGAACTCAACGCAGGTGTTTCTTTCAATGTCGTCGGACTCGCCCTCGGATGCCTTTGCATCATTCCCTTCACAAAGAAGTACGGTCGACGATCTACCTACATCTTATCGACCGCTGTAATGGCTGCAACGTCCTGGTGGAGCAGCCGATTGCGTACGGTTCCCGAGATGTATTTCACGAATCTACTCTATGGCTTGGCTGGATCAACAAACGAGACCATAGCCGAGATGACGGTATGCCTGACATATGCCCACATTGATTACCCATGGTAATTGAAGTCCACTAACACGCTTCTTTTCTTGCCAGATTGCAGATCTCTTCTTCGTTCATCAGCGAGGCCTGGCAAACGGCTTTTACATCACCGCCGTCATGATCGGGAATTTTCTCGCCCCCACACTCGCCGGTCTCCAAGCAGCCTCGATGGGTTGGCGATGGGCCTACTACACTGTCGGGATCTTCCTGACGCTCTTGTGCCTCTTGTTTTTGTTTTTCTTCGAAGAGACCAAGTATGTGCCAATCTCTGTTGGATCCTCAACCACCGAAACTCCAGATTTGGAGGAAGTAGCGAATAGACTGCACGAAACGAAGTGTGGCTCAGCCGCAGCAAACTCTGCCAGCGATATTAAACCTTTTGAGACACATCCTATTCAAGACATCGAACGGGCCGAGCAGTCAACCCCGCTGCCCAATACGTACCGTCAACGTATGCGTCTGTCCACGACAACGGACGAACCACTGGTCTCCAGCTACATTGCGCCTTTCAAGATGGCCCTCTTTCCGCACGTAGTCTTCTCAGCAATCCAATGTGCCAATGCCGTGGCATTTCTGGTCGCGCTGACAAGCTTAAACTCCATCGTTTTCGCTGCTCCACCATACAACTTCAACACAGCCGGGGTGGGTCTAATGCTCATCGGCCCATTCGTTGGCAACATGATCGGCAGTCTGTACGGCGGAATATTCGGTGACTACGTTGTTGTCAGACTCGCGCGTAAGAACCGGGGTATCTTTGAGCCTGAAATGAGACTCTACGTACTCTTGCTACCTGCGTTGATCAT